GAGTCAGCTGAAAAAGTAGGCTTCTGGAACAAGCCACAAGCGATAGAACACTTTTCAAAAATGTTTGGCCTGCTTGCCAAACATTACGGAACAAGTATAATAATAAAATGTTTTGTATAACTCATTTGTAATTAACGTATAAATTTTGTTTTTATTGTAAATTATTTTGAATGTTATTTATAAAATTTAAAGTATTAACAATCACATATAATATAAGTCATCGACGTTCGAGTCTCATCTACCTTTATTTTTAAATATATATATTTTTAGATCAGAAATAGGTTTATTCAGAGACGCAATATTTATTTTATTAAACTTAATCTTACAAAATATAGATATTGATCAAGAAGTTAATAAAATGTAATTTTTATATCAATTAAATAGTTGCCTCTACTAACACTACTACATATATAGACATACACATATTTTGTATAAATATCTCTATCTCTCATACCTTAAAAGTACACATCCCGCTAGCGCTTATGTTTACAACAGGCCGCACAGCACAGCTGTGAATGGTCTCACTAAAAGCGGAAAATGGCCTTACATTGTTCCATTGTGGAAACTCTCTAGCCATTCCGCCTTTTTAATATTAGTTTCTCTAACGCTCTTTCATGAACTCCTTTGATATTTCTAGTAATGAAAACTTTTATGAACTGAATAGGTGAAGTTTGTTCTAGATCGGTTTGAGAGTTTTCTTTTAAATGGGAAACTGTGAAATGCTTCTATAGATTTCGAGGTAGTAGCTTTTCAAAAGTTTATTATTGAACCATGAGAGAGTAATTAAAAGATTTCTCACGATAACAGTTATATTATTACGAATTACATTCATAAGAAAAAAACTCATTCCAAGTCAGTCCAATGGTAGTAATGTATGCCCAAAGTCAACTGTCGTGATTTCGATTCCCATCAAGGCCAACAACTTTCTCAGCTCACTTTAGATATATATTTTTCTTAAATGTTTTATTCTCTGTTTGAAAAGTCTGCCATTAAATGGTCGGTAGGAAAAAGATGTAAAGTGCAAATCCATGTTATAGTTTCAGTCTGTGGACTTCTCAATGTCCAAAGCCAAAATAGCGCATCTGCTTGATATATCTATACTTTTATTTCACCTTCCATTAAACCCCAAGTGTTTGTCGTCATCTGTCATGGACTGAATTGAGTAGATTGTGTATAAATAAACCGCGGGTACATTTTATCTTGACAAAGAAATGTTAAATAGGATATCAACAGAATGAAAAACCTTTTACGCTACCGCAATATTAGCCTTCAAAATTCACATATTTGTAAATTATTAAACAATGTTAACGGAGTGGGCCGGAGCGCAGCTGTGCCTTTAATTTAAGCTTACTTTTTGAAACATAATAACTGCTCTAGAATATGAGAAAGAAATTTATATCGCTAAAATAATCCTTTAAGAAGAATCAGATCAAGAAGCCTCTTGGAATTTAATATTTTTTCGCTTGTGACTTGAGTGTTCAAATAATATCTCTCTTACATAACCGCTTTAATTTTCTTGTTTGTGCACTTATCAGCAGAATACAAGGTCCCAGGTCCCAAACATTATTAAGAAAAAGACATTAAAACCATCACTTTAATACACTTACTAAAATTTTATTATCATTAATGTATAATTTTAAGTAGTAAAAAACCAATTGTACTCATCCTAGTTCTACCATTTATTTGGTATTAAATATTTTGAAAATTTTAATACTTTATAAATTGATCCTGAGGTTATGTAAATTTAAAAAATATTTAGACGGAACGCTGTGGATGCCGGCTTAAGTCAGACTGTGTCACAAAATATTACACAATCTAATATAATAGTAGTAATTATAAACGAAAAAATATATATATAACCTATCGTGTATATATATGTAACTCTCTATATTTTAGTTTGCGTATCTTGACATCCAATTACGGAGCGCTGCGTTGATAACGAGAGGTCACGTTTTTGGAGCCAAGTGCTGTAAACTAGGCTTTGACACGCATTTCAGTACAGCTTGTTATGAATACTCGGAAAATAAAAAGCTTACATACCCATATAAAACTTCTCAAATAAAAGTATTTGAATACAATGGGCCTTCTGGCTTACTGAGGCTTTTGACGACGAGCCGGTCAAAAACCTAAGTAATGGTAGCTACGTATGGTTAATAATCCAGGGGTTCGATCCCTACCGGGTCCAACATTATTCTAATCAATCTATAATATTTCTGAAACATGTTGGACTGCGTCTGGAAATTTGGATATTAAGTGGGTGGTAGGAATATCGAAATTCCGTCCGTTTCCGTTTCGGTCTGTGGATTTCCGAATATCCAAAGACAAAATAGATCGACGACGCCTCTTTTTAGATGTTATATGGCTGGGGTATTGTCTGTCCTGCTCTATCATAGCTAAATTTATAACAAGTAAAACCGATTATAATAGTTCAGACACACACAGACAGAACAACTATATCTCACACCATATTATACATAATAAATATGGTCTGGGATTTAGTTTTTCTATGAAAAAATCTTTATCCAGAAGTTTAATTTCTTCTTATTACTTTCACAAACTTCAAATTCTTGTGTATTTTCTATATTAAGAATTACATTTCATTTTTAAAATCATTATTATTATATTAAAATCTCTATATCTCTGTCTCTCTCTTATAAATTATTCAACTGTGATATCTCGATTTACCAATGTTTCTTATGACTCACCAAGTTAAAACTACGAGGGTAGTCAGTATTTCAGCTGTCAAAGGGCCGCCATTACTAAATCATTAGTCAGTGTAGGGTTAATATAATGCGTGTATATCGCCAATTTTTCCCTCGTCGATACAATACATGAATCATCAACTAAAACAGTTTAAGAAGGATAGCGATTTTTTATGTATGTATGTTTCTCTTTAGCGCTTAAAACACTGAACTGGTATATGTGCCCGAGGTGTCAATCGATATGAAATATAAAGATATAGAAATTATTTATGATAAACCGTTTTAAATCAGTCCTCATTAAATGATCTACAAATAGTCTGCGATGCTATCTTTTAGTACTAACTTGCAAGCACGACGGAACACGATCGACGTCGTGGGTAACAGTGAGGTTTATAAAGATGAGGGGGTTTGCAGAAACAAACTGCTGAATGCCTAAAATAACTAGGCACTTAGGAACACCAAATTTTTGACGTTCTTTTCTTTACGGACGAAGTCGTCTAGTCGCTTACAACTGTTATAATAAATAATTTTCTTTCTTTTTGACAAATATCAGGGAATCACACTTTTTACAATTCCGTTCATTTCATCAAAAAATATCCTGAAGTACGTATATAAAGTATAGTACGTAGAACAATTAATTTCGGGTTTACAGGTTTTAATAGACAAGATTTACGAGTAGGCTCATCCGGGCAAGGGTCGGCTGTGCAGGACACAGTAATTTGTGACAGAAGGGATGAATGAGGCACTATATATGTCTGTACTGCGTGGAATTATCATAGGGTTTGAAGTATCGATGTTGTTGGCTACATCGATACTTTAAATATTTGTGTTTAATCAAGCATTTCCTTTTCTAATTATTTCTAATGAAAAAATCTGTTTTATTTAGGAAAAATAAATTAATTAAACCAGATAAACTTAACGGACAAAACTACTAACAAAGCTGAAGAGTCTGTTTGTTTGAACGCGCTAATCTCAAAACTACTAGTTTGAATTGAAAATTTCATTTTGTGCTGGCTAGAGCATTTATCGAGGGAGACTATAGGCTAAATCATAGCGGTGTGACTATTAGGAGCGAAGAAATAGTGGAATCAATGAGGAATGTTATTCATCTTGGTGGGTATCCGATACGTACGCTGCAAAAACGGTTCAAGATACCCAAAAAAAATATGAAAGAATGATTTCGTTGTGCTTAAATTTATAAAGAATTAAAGGATGAACAAACTTCCATACCCAAAATAACTTTTCTACGTGAACAGAGTCAGCTATGTTTTATATATTTCAATGAAACCCCGTGTAAGGATTAAAATTTAATGTAAAGCAGATGTACCATACCAAAGAATAATAAAGAAGCGAAAAAAGATCGAATGAAAAAGTAATCCCCTATTAAACATCGGTTCGTCCTGGATTATGACCGATGACACAGCAGAACCTCAAAAATCATTGCTACCCACGGGCAACACACCCCAAGCAACGGCGCTGGTCGATAAACTATCGTGACTAGCGCCCGTAAAAACATTGCCCATACGAAAAAAAAGTGTTTGTACGAAAAATTAAAAAATTCATAATAAGCCCCTGAACGATGAAACTTCGGTGATCAACCCCTGTAATAACAAATTTGTTTTTTAGATTTTACACGTGGGAAATACGGCGAAATGGCGAAATGAAAATTATGTTTGTGTATTTATTACATTAAAATAATACAGTTTATAAACTTGGTAACTTTTAAACATTAAAAATTTGGCGTTAATCGTTAAAAGTGTATTATTTATTTAACTATGCACGACTCGCGTAAACTTGCAATGGTTTGTCTAATATAATATTGAATACTTAAATATTTTACACATACTTTTGCACGTGATGGCACTATATAAATTAAAAATGGATTATAGTTTGTAGAAAATTACGAGTCGGGCAGCAGGACTTGACCGGGCATCCTCAGCGTTCCGTGCTGTTGCTCTAACCAATTAAACTACCCAGTCCTACACGTCGTCGTCGAATTATATCGACCTATTGAGATATGCGCATGCAAGAAATAGAAATCATGAAAGAAAGTTAGGAATAAGACATAAAATATTTATTTACATGATAATTTCGGAACTTATTAATTAAAAAAAAACATCTTTATTATAGAGATCTCTATAGTAGATTGATAAACTTGACATCCTATATTAGACAAAGACAGTCAATTAAGAAATGAAATATGTACTCCAAGTTAAGTACTCGGGTACTCCTTTACATAGGGGGAAATGAATAAAATTTCAATATAAAAATATCGGAATCCGAAAAAGGTTTTCAGCAATGAGCTACGACGAGTTACAGAAAACGGAACGACGTCAAAATGTTACAGCCGAGGAATTCCATTCGGGGTTATTGGGAAAGTTAATTCGGCCGGTCTCGAGCCACGGTGAATTATGATTTTGCATTTGAGAAATTTTAATATTTATCTATGGATTTCTATAAAAACACTTATATACGTTATACATACTTTCTTTTGATTATCCAAAGCTAAAAAAGGTCGATAGCACATCTTGTTTAGATATGATAAGCTGCTTATTAAGAAGAACAACTAGTACTTCGCAGTTATCAATGATCGTCGTTCACTTATATGTCTGTAGCTGTTGTCAAATGTTTTTGTAGTCAGAAAAAATCTACGCCCAATCAACAAGACTGATTCAAATTACGTTTTGCAAATATACTAAGAACGTGCTAAGTCATAGTATTTAAATTATTACGATAAGTCTTGCGGCATTCTAAACAAACATACATGTATGTTTGTATATGTATACATTTGTGTATTTCATTATAAAAAAGTGTATGACAGCTTCGTTTCTATTTCAAAGTTTTTTGTTACTTAGTTTCAACTTTCCACAAAATACTACACCTTCTTATTACTTTAAACTACGTCCCTCTTGATCGTGGCTGCTGCACATTCGGATCGTTTTAAACCGTTAAAAGTTTTACTTAACAATAGAAAATACACATTCACAATAATATATTATTTTCTATTACTCTCGGTCATGTTGCTCCTTGGAAAACTCTATATAATCACGACAGACAGACAAACTTTTTTGACGAATCGAAATAATTGTGAAAATGGTATGTGTAATATTTTATTTTATATTTTAGTACCTACTCAGAGCTACCTTAATTATCCTTGGTTCTGCATATAGATATGCAAATACAAGATCATTCTTCGCGACTTTGATCCACTGCTGTAATGAAGGACGATTTAGAAGATTGGCCGCTTTCATTTTGTTTCCGAGGAGCTTATTACGGCTATCACTCTAGATTACGGAGTTATTATAAGGGAAGTGTTCGAGTGACTTTGTTATTTGGACTCATTAGAGCCTTTTTTAAGGTGTGAATAGAAACAGTTCGTTAGAAGAAACTCTGTTCGTGTGTGGCGTCTGATAGAAACATCGTTACGCGTTACGCTGCGTCAATATTTAAATTTAACAGATTTTATTGGGCAGTGGTCAATAATGTTATAACAGTACTTGCAATGATTCGACATAACTAAAGACCTAAAGCAGTGTTCTTATGTAGCATGATAGCAAAAAAATTTAAAAAAAAACATGTCTATCTAGTACTTAATTGGTGAAATACAGCAATTCGAAGAGACTACAGTTTTATAATGAAGGATGCGATATGCAAAGATTGTTGTTCTATAGTATTTTACTTAACAGTGACATTAGTTTACGCGAGTAATACACATTTGAATAGAACATTTTAATGGTTTAAAACGCGATATCTATTAGTTAAACATATTTGAAAATGCTTTGCGGCTGACGTGGTCACGGGGAGACTAATAAGTTTAACTAATATATACCGCGTTTTGAAACGGTGAAGAGTTTTATTGAACAGTGTTATTTAACTTATACGAACAAAGCCTAAAATGTTTTTCCCTTTGTGTATAACAGTGTAATTCAGGTATTCTTTTCAGTAATTAACTGAAACGTCACTTGTTTCAGGATGGAGGAGACAGTGCGCTCGCTGCTACAATACAAAAGTCGAGTGGAAACTTTGAAGCAAGAAAAGGCTTCACTGTCCTCTGCGTTGGAGGTTTGTCTTCCATTTATATTCTTACGCTAAAGACCGTGGGTTTTAATCCCTGGAAAAAATCATGACGTCCCTTAACAAAATACGCTTAATATAACGCCATTGAGCACATGTAGGCCAAAACTAGAAAGCTATGGGCTCACTAGAATAGTGGTAATTCAAAGACTAAAGGTCGACATCGCATCTTGTTTAGATGTTATTTATGAATGATGTGTTTCGCCTTGAACTCCGCATTGTATGGAAAGTAAACATATAATTCACTTCTCTATCTTCGCCTGTAATAAAGAAATATCTTTAAAATATATATGTATTAATAGAGCACCATATAAACTATGTGATGATGGGAAGGCCAATTTGGGCAGTCGTTTAGCGACATTAAAGAGCATTTATCGCATAAAAGGGGGGACATGCTATCATTTTTGGATTATATCTGCCCCCGCAGATAGGAATTAATTTGCAAAAGTACCGGCTCACCAGTATTAGTTGACCTCTAGAAATTAACCCATCCTTCGCTCGTTCCTCCTTATTTATAGAAGGGAAGAGGGGGTGGTAATTCCATCTTAATATGGTCTGCTCATAACTGGACGTTCTTTGAGGTATTACGAAGTTTTAGGGGGGATGTTTTTGCGTAATTATCATTTGGTTTCTCAGTGTTTAGGTTGTGATAAAGCTGATTGAACGAGTGTAAATGTAGATTTTTTTCCTCGTCACTACTTACTATAAAACAAAGTCGCTTTTTCTGTCCCTATGTACGTTAAATCTTTAAAATTACGCAACGTATTATGATGCTGTTTTTTATAGATAGAGTGATTTAAGAGGTTTTTATGTACAACGTTCACAGTTTTTCTGTACTGCATTTAGTATTAGCATTGCACCCGAGTGAAGCCGAGCGGGTCGCTAGTAATTGTATACTTAGTATATTTCAAGGAACTTTGGTTATTTATCAGGCATTCTAAAACGTCCTTTGTAAACTTGAAGCCTGCAAACAAGAAGATATCTTCTTAGAAACTTATTAAATCAAATTTCAATATTGTAGCAGTGATATATCACTTTGAAAAGAAGCCGGGACCTGGGACAATGGGAAAATATTTAAAGGATATTAAAGAGGGGCTTCACAATAGCTGGCTCAAAGCGGCAGGTAGGGAAAACGGATGCGTCAAAATCTTACGTTCGGTCGTTAGAATGACAGGAAAAGGTAGAATTTTGTCTGGGTAACAAAAAATATTATATAGTGAAAGCTTATATTTAAATAAAACACTTTAACTGTTTAAAACGCGATATATTAGTTTCTTTGCAGCAGCCGAAACGTCGAGCCGAAGTTAAAAATCATTTTTAAATAAGTTTACCTAATATATCGCGTTTTAAACCGTTAAAGTGTTTTATGTAAATAACAATTTTATATCTGATAAAATAGTCATTATTGTTGTCTTTTATCTTTTTTATTTGTCAAATCTTCGTAAATATTGGGTTGACTGGAAGAAATGTATTGTTTGTATGTTGTGTTTGTGTTTTAATAATTAAAAATGGCGTATGTAAAATGAAACGCGTATAATTGAGATATATTGTACCCTGGACATCATTAAAGACCCTCGCATCAAAAGGCAAACGCAGAGAGCATACAAAGTTTTCGAATAACGTATTCAAACATGCATATTGAAGGGGAGCAGACAAAACAGTCCAGTTTAATGAAATATTTCGGATATTTGTACATGATTCCACTTTCTCGTCCCTGTAAAACCAATATTACGTGAGCCCTCAACTCCATTTTACACAAGAGCTCGACGTGAGAAACCAGAGCCCACCCTAAAGTGGAGAAGGCTCAGTAACTGAATCTTCTGCAAATTTTGTAATTTGACGGCTTAAAAGAATGTTTTGAGAACAATTTGCGAGTTCATATTTCGAAATGCCGAATTTTCGGAAGTTTTTATGAGATATTTCCAAGTGCTCCGTTCAAATGAATTTCTTTTTAGGAATATTTTCCTCGTAGCGTCTCCTCGTGTTTGATTTTACTTAATTTCAAGAAGACCCTTTATAACTCTACGGTCTTATTGAAAACGATGTGCCTTCAAATTATGTTTTATGTAATTTTGTGAATTGTGTTCAGGGTAACTGTATATCTACAGACGTAACAGCTAAATGAAATGGCGTTTACCATATGTTAGGAAAGACGCAGACACATATATGTGTCTGTATCACTGATCAATTATATAGAAGCAAACAATTAATTAAACGGCCGTTTTAATAAGATCAAATAAATTAAGTATGTTTTTTGATGCGCTAAAAAACATAATTTTCTAAACTAACATAAGTTATTTTGAATCCTCATAAAGAACTATACGCATTCTTCTTAAATACTTAAACTTAAAACTCTCTGGAAATAAAGATCCCCATAAACCCTAAACGAAGGTAAGAGGCACTTTAAAAGCTTTTTATTTCGAGTGGAACTATCACTGTTGTACTCTAGTTGTTCTTCAAACTCGCTTCAACTATATTGGTATGTTTACTTAATAATTGTACAAATTTTACATTAGTATATGACTCATATTTCAAAGGTCTACTTATAAGGGTCTACTTAGTTTGTTCGGTAGTAAATTAGTTACTAAATAAACTCCTTGTAAATTTTTAGTTATATTTGGTGTAGTGGTACCAATGTACGGCTAATAAGGGCCATGGATTCGATTCCCGCAGGGTCCAAAATTTTTTTTTTAAAAATATCATATTTTTTTTGAAATATTTTCGACTTTTAAGCAGCTGAAATTGTCTTATTAAGCATCACAATTAAAATAAAAATTAATGACGTAACTAGTTATATAAAATCGCGCATCACTAATTTGGCCAACAGCACGCACACATGCAAAGATAGCGGCGCCATAACAGGAATGTAAGGACATTAAAATGGCGGAACGCGGGAAATCGGCTATGCACAATGACTGGGGTTTCCCGGTTTAAAAGCGCCCCTCCCCCTCCTGTAGCGCCTCTAAACAATAATTCAACTTCACCCTTCCGAAGTGCAAGGGCGCAGTTACCAGGGGCAGGTTATAGGGATGTACTGAATTTTATCGATTAAACCACCTTCACATTAGGGTCCCTTCTTAAACCAACCATAAAACTACCCGCTCAAATGTGGGAGGGTACTTTTTCGGTTACGGTAGTATTGCACAGCATCGTTCATAAACCAGAGAAGTAAGGCTAGAAAGAAATAATTTTTTGGTGGACATTTTGTTTAAAAATTGATATCTGTTTAAGGTAATTTTTTTTAAATAAAAAGTCCTTATTAATAATTTAGGTTATCTCTATGTCTGGAAATCGAGTACAAAAAAAAACTAATACAACAGTTCCTCCATACCCCTCATAGTGGAAATGTGATTATAAAATCGTGGTTATATCCCCGATTTTATAACTTTAATTGCTAAGTCAACGGAGATACTAATTTTTACTAAATTGAATTTAAACATTTTCTCAGCCTATATGCTTGCATCGATATCATGGACGACATCACTAGTACTGGTCAGAACGAGGGTGCATCACTTCGGCCCCGGTTTTGTTCAAATCTTCAAATACACCCACGCTAATTGTGTTTGACTGCTTTTGGGTTTACCTATTTACAAACATACTTTTAATTTAAGCATGTGATTACAAACAATGAGGCTCAAGTAAAAAAATAATATGAAATCTTTAAAAGTAATAAAACGTACATTACTAACTATTAAAACATGGCCTCCCATGGAGTAGTGATTAGCAGGACAAGGAATGGTCACATCTAGAGTTTCATTTATTTGGAACTTTTTTAAAAACTTGTGAATTCAGAACTCGTAGCTCTCAAGAAGTGTTATTTTTCCAGTTAAGCTCTTGGCACCTGTTGTCATCACAAATTTAATGACGATGACGTATAGAACACGATGGCTTACTGGGTTAGAGCAACAGCACGGGACGCTGTGAATGCCTGGTTCGAGTCCCGCCTGTGACGTTAATTTGTTTAATCTAAAAATATTTTTAATTAAAACAGCTTTCTTAAGACACTTAAGTAGCGAAGTGGATCTTATGCAAGAGAGGGAGATTAATAGATCGAAACGAATAATTAATTTTACAACTTAAGAGTTTCATAGTACAGTTTAAAATATTACTAATTAATTGCAGGGAAATTACCATATTCAGCATAGTAAAATTGCAAATTCAAACTTTGCTTTTACACTGACTGTTTGCGTACAGCAGGGTAACCAGCGTTTTGCACTGTCTGTTTACAAGTAACCATGGCGACGTACGCTATATTTTCACATTCACTATTATTTCTAAGGCAAAGTACTCTCACCATATAACATATCCAAACAAGATTAATTAACTAACATACTTTTAACGGCTGAAAACGATAAATCTATTAGCTAACATATATTCAATTTATTAAAATTATTAAAATCTAAACAAGATGCTTTAGGTTTGGCCATTCGAAAATCTACGGGCTAATCGAAACGATAGAGTACATTTTACAGACATTTACAAAATTCGATATTCCGTTCACAATTTAATATTAACATTTAAAAAAAAACACTTTAACGGTTTAAAACTTTTAAACTTATTTGAAAGATGATTTTTAACTTCGGCCCGACGTTTCGGATGCTTTGCAGCAGCCATGGTCACGGGGAGACACCCCGTTAACCCCCCCACAAGCGCCGTCAGCCCGTCACAATATATACAAAAATGAATTATTTAACATTACTTCCATTCTCATAGCTAAAAATTTAAAATATTCATATTTTAGTGTATAATATATGTAGTTCCTTTATTATATAGGGGTAAACTTCCCGCGGTAGAGATACAGAGGCATCTTCGTAATTGAGTTACCGCATATCTCTCTCCTGGTACCCAGTAACGTCCAACTAACGAAACCAATTAGGGTATTTCCATTGTTACGACACGATTCCCAACCGAGAAGGGAATTCAATTTGCTTATCTTATCCGACCTATCTTTCATATCAGCGTCACTGTCAAAATAATATATATAATGCTTTATGATAAATGCAAGATTAAATAGAACCAACTAAACGGGTCAAAACACAAATTATAGGAATTCAACTTAATAGTAATCATTTAAAACTTCGGCTTATAGTTAACTTCATAAACTTGATTATAATTCGGTTTTTAATAGATATACAGACTTACTTAGCCGTTGATGTGAAAACCGCCTCTATAGCTTAATGGTTAAACGTGTTGCCTAGCATTGCGTTAAGCTGTCCTAGATTCGTAGCTCGGGAAAACAATAGATTGTTTGAGACAGGGCACAGAATTCTGGCCGCTATGTAAAACCGATTAGTGAAACACACAGTGGACATAGAAATATTTGCCCCATGCCCCACAGGAGAAACGGGATTTTACTATGCTAAACTGCAGGACCTAAAATAAAAGTAATTTTAATTCACACAGTCTGCACTTTAAAGTTTTGTTGTAGTGTGTTGGAAAAATCGATACATCGTATCAATCTCTTTTATGAAATCCCATTGGACAATGGAAACGCGCAACGGCTAGCTATTATCCGCAAGTCATTCAAGCCTTCGGATTGAATTATGCAACTATTGGAGCTTAAACAGCATTATTATGCATACAAATTAATAATTTTTTAATAACTGCCGCTTCGTTATTCCCTAATTTGACTTCCACTCGAGTACGGCGAATCAGCAATCATTTTTCGTGGCTCGTTTTTGAAAGCATTTTCAAAGATAATATTGGGTTTTTATCGAACATACTGAAATCGGTTTATTACAATTCTTACATATTTACTTTTACAATACAGGGGATTAGGGCAGACACATATCACATTTACAGATCTTGTTTAATTTTTCGTCGACTGTAACTAATTTTAGACTTACCTTTGTATGTCAAGTCTAAGTCCAAAATCTAAAGGTTCTAAATTTACATTAATTAAATGTAAATAATCCCGTTTCTAAGTTGGCTTCAATAAAGATTATTAAGCAAATAGTATTAGGTATTTTTCATTAATTAAGTCGGTATGGAGATCTTGAGAAATAAATAATTTGTGATCAAATACTGTCTATAGTTTACGCGAGTAGTACACATTTAAATAAAACACTTTAACGGTTTAAAACGCGATATATTACTAATATATCGCGTTTTAAACCGGTAAAGTGTTTTATTTAAATTTGTGATTATTTCAACCTTCTATACAGACGGCGAACTCCTTCATTTTTTTATTGAGTATGGATATTCGGAAATCCACATGAGATAATATTTCACGGCCTTCTCTGTGGACGGTGGTTCGTGACCCGGATGGAATTTCGATATTCTAATCACTTCCAGACGAAGTTTAACATGTTTCAGAAATATTAATAATTGAAAAATTAGAAACACGTTGGGGATTGAACCTTATATTGCTAAAAGGTTCTATAATGTCACACTGTGAAAACATTAATATTTTTCACGTATTATTTGCACATGATGACACTATATAAATTAAAAATCAATTGTAAGTTGAAAAAAAAATACGACTCGGGACTTGAACCGGCATCCACAGCGTTCCGTACTGTTGTTCTAACCGATTAACACTTGCGACTTGATAGTCGTATTTTTTATTTATAATCGATTGTTAACGTCACATTGTTTCAACAAGTGAGGCGTGTAAGCATGTGAAAATTAATGATTAAAAGCATACAGCTTTTAATCGCATTTATTGCTAAATGTAATCGCTCCGCTCCTTTGTACTGGGTGAAAACATGTTTGTGGAGGTCGATCAATCTCGTGAACTTGCAACTTTGTGACCCAATGTTAATAGGATTAAAATAATTTTCTCGTCAATTAAAATTTCGTGTATAATAATATTAAAATATAGCTACCCTGTTAATTATACCTATACGAGTCTACGTTTTAATGGAAGATTGACGACGTAAATATTTCAAAGTTAATTAATTAGGTTGATGAATGCGTCGCGAGGAAAAGGCTGAATCCCGTAAAATACGTCTCGCTTGATTGAGACGCAATTTCGAAGCCGATTGCCAATTTAATTGCCATCTTAAGAACAGACGCGGTTTGCTTCATACAGAACTCGACGAAATCAATTACGATTCAAAGAACTAAATGTATTACTAGAGATGGGTCTTATGTAGCTTGAACCGAAACTGAATCTTCGATACGTAATGTATGAAAAGTTAGAATAGTTGAACTATTGAAGTATTGAACCGTTTGCCGTCCTGCTGCAAATCATCCCAAATTTTGGACCGTAGTTAAAATCATTTTCGAATAAGTTTAACTGATATATTTCGCGTTTTAAAGCGTTAAAGTTTTTTATTTAAACGGTAATAAAAACTAGTGCGTGGGACATGGCAATACTATATCTATTTATTATTTTTCTCACAATAAGCATTCTATAATTTGTTAGTTAAAATTGCACTTGTTTTATACTAATGTGAAAATGTGAATTTTTTAAACCTTGTTGTAAATAGTGTTGTGTAGTGTAAACGGCTAAGGACGACGGGGTCTCCCCTACCTCGGTCAGAAGAGCAGGTCTACTTATTAATAATTATATATACTTAATTTATATACTTATGCTAAACTTAACTTAGTATAATGCTATTAGTTGTATATTATTACTGCTCTTATTGTCTAAGAGAAGCTGGCAGTTTTACGGCAGTACTTCAAAAAAATGGGTTGTCATTTTTTATCGCTAAGAAGTATAGGTATTAAGTAAATTTAGTTAATATTTTGTATTTTGGTGTGCAACTTTGAAATACATGTTTTTTTTAACCAATGTTTAGTCGAAGGCCTTAGATATCAAAATTCAATTATATCAAAATGAAGAGTATGAGTTTTTGCCCATAAAAATTATTCTCCTTTTGTCTTTCTTAACAATGATTTTCTTAAAACCTGACCGAGTGAGCGCTGTGTAAACTTTCAACAGACACGATAGATCAATCATTTTTGGTCGTTTATTTTCACCCTAAAATGTTCGTGTAATTAAGAGTGCGAATGATAGTCTCTTTTAGGGGAGTTTTTTAACCGTGACAGTGATATTTTGTTGACACCTTTTTATTCTAAAGGACCTTTATGAAACAAACTTTATTGGTAACTAATTAAGTTAATCAACTTAATTCCTTCTATGTTGGGCATGCAGCGTACTGCTCAAAACAGAGAAACAATTAATTCTCTGAGATTCGAACCCAAGACTTCTGCCTCTCAACACATTCAAGCCGGTCAGCAGTCTTCCCATAAGAATGTGTAACTCGTCCAAGTTTCTATTTTTTTTTTTCACTTTTTTATAAATGGTAGTTATTTAAGCTTATATTTAAGTTATTTATTCTGTCTTGTGAAATAAATGGTTTGAGTTTGAGTTTAACTGATAAATAATACATGTTTTGCTTCTATTTGTTACAGGTATCAGCAGCGCACTACCAAAGTCAGTTATCAGTGTTATCAACAGAGAACGAAAGACTTCGCGGTCAGTTATCAGCACTGTCAGTCAGTCTGGGCATCGGAGAACACGAGAAGAAGTTAGATGATGTTGCGCAGCAAGTCGTACGCGCTCTACTCTCACAGAAGGTGAGATTATTGACTTAGTAGATAGCTAGGACCTTGTCTGCGAGAAATATTTAGTGGCTTTAGATCTATAGTTTTTGCCCAACAGATAGACCGACAAAAAAGGAATCCTATATTCTGTTTCTTTTGTTATACAACACTTTTTATGAATTTACAGTAAATTATGATGCTTAAATTTATCTATTATAGATTTTATGTATGTAAATAAGGTATTTTCAGCCTAGATTAAGAACCTTCGCCATTATTGATCAATTAAACATCAAAGTAGCTGTCTCTATAATAAGTAGTTGATCTCCTGTTCGTCCAGAAAAATATTTAAATTTTGTGGGATTTAGGACTGTTTTAATGTGATATGTTTAATTGTCCTACTACAGGACATAGCAATAGTAAATACTTAATTCAGATTTCTATTTCGCTGATCTCCTGCTTACCGGTTCTCTGTGGCATCTTAAAAAAACGTAAAGTAGGTAAGCTGCAAAGCGGAGATAATTCCTTCTTAATTTATACGCGAAGAGTGCTTAAATATCGCCGCAGAATTAATCCGTCGCGCAAAAAACCAACCAGAAACGGGAATCGCTAATCCGGTCGAAGTAAGGCCTGAAAATTGTTTTCTCATAATTATAGGCAACCTCCCTTGCTCGTGGATTACCAACAGCTACATTCGCACATAAATCGTGCAAAATGGGACATTTTGGCCTTAGTGAGCACCGTAATAATTTCACCGAAGCCCGGGCCACTATAATCTTGGTATAATCTGGCCGATAATGTGAATGTTTCAATCCGGAAATGGCCGCTTTGTTATATAGTTTTGGCGCGAACTTTTCGGATAAAGATGGCGACGTCTGCCCGTGACAGCTGGGTGACAGTGCAAATTGTTTACGTTCGGTTTAGTGGGTAGTCTGAAAATGTAACTACTGCACGTTATGAGACGAATTAAAATTATATAGTGATTTAACTGCTTAGTGTATTAGTGTAGTAGTGCTTAGATCGCTGGCTCAAATAGGTAATGTGACGTAGAATATTTTGATAACATGAAAAAATGGTAATAAATAATAATTATTTCTACCATACTGTATTATTAATATAAAATGCTTCAATAACTTTATTAACTGCGTATATAACGTAAACAATATTGTTAAGTGAGATATCTTATCTGTAAACTGAGAATTTACTCAGACAAATTGCTTTCCATAATTCAATACTGATCCAAGGCTTTCGCTGTCTCTAATTACTTGATATAACTCGCGAGACGCATGTCATTATTATCTAAGTTAATCAAAGCCTTCCTTCGAGAACAAGCGTTTATCAAATGTCGTGATGTGAGTTCTTAGCAATATTCACATGTAAACCAAGCCTTAAATTTTGGTAATATTACCGATAGGACTTTTCCTATCGGTAATATTACCAAAATTTAAGGCGTTTAGAAGCGTAAAAAATACATCCTCTAGGGTTAGCAACTCTTTTAGTTAGGATGTATTTTTTACCAGTGCTATATATATAGATAAAATGCAATAACAAAAATATTGATCTTCCTGTGAAATGAACGAGGGTAGTGAGGTATTTTACACGACAGAGAGTCCATTATAATAAGCAAAATACATTTTAAATAGCCTTTGTTTGACACTTATAATTATTGCCGTTCCATTCTATGTCATATGTGTATATGTATGTAATTGTAGACACGTTAACAATTAAAAAAATGGATTTTATTTATTTAGTGATGGTTTTGAAATAGGAAGTTTAAATTGGTTACATACTAATAACGAAGTTTAGCTTTAGTATACTTTCATAAATATACAATCCGAACATGGCGAAATACAGATATCTACTCAATATTAAAGCTCTAAATGAATTTAGGTAAAATCTGGCAACATTAAGAACATTGCCTTGTATCTCCCATCTCCCCCTTAATTACCTCCCGTCAATTACGCTCCTCGAATTTAATTTGCGTAATGAAGTATAATTAAAATATACGCGTTTATTTCGAAGAAGACTGACAAGGAATATAATGACTATAGGGGAACAGTTTAACTATAAAATAGTTATTCATTTGCTGAGAATTATGTATGCAAAAACATAAAAAAAAACTAATAGTTAAGTTTAGTACATAACATTAGGTTTTGTACTAAACTTAACTAAACATGCAAAATTGTTTATTACTAAATACGGGAGAACCTTAATTTATTCCTAGGTTTACATTTTCGTTATAACGTATTAATTATATCGTATTATCTTTATAAAATAGATAAAGTAGATATTTTTTATGAAAGAAGAGGACGAAACAAAAGTCGACCTTTTTTGGTTGTGGATATTCGGAAATCCACAGACTGAAACCAAATCGCTATTAAACTTTACGACCTTTTTACCTGTGGACGATGGTTCGTAGTCCAGAGGGAATTTTTACATACCGCTCATCTCACATCCAGTTTTTCATACGAAGTCCAATATAGTACAGAATAAGTATAAAGTTGATTTGAAACATTTTGGACCCTGCGATGTTTATTAGTCATATATTGCTACGATTAGACCAACAAACCCGTCAATTCAGAGGTTGACAAAATTTTTACGGCTTTGTCGAGTAAATAACCGAATTACTACTCAGAAAGTTACATTTTAGTGACAGTATTAACTTGTCTTTCCTTTGATTTCAGAGCGTACGAGAGGAGTTGGGTTGCGCAAAAGCAAGGATCCGAGACTTGGAAGCCCAGAATCGGGCGCTCAGTGCTCTCCTAGTGCGACAGTTGAGGCCCCAGCCTAGGCCTTCGCCGGCCACTCCACACACGCCGGTTACACCTCATTGTAACAAAGATTTACAAGGTAAAGCATTGGGCCCGATGGGACGAGTACACAAAAGTTATATCGTGAAATAATTTGGTTATATTATATGCTTAGTGATAATCTTGCAACAGCTGCTATATAGTATCCAAAACATCGGTCTTTATACTATATTTCGCGTTTCAAACCGTTTATATTGTGCACCGTGTGTAAAGTATAACTAATTTACGAAACTTAATAATTTTTATTCACATAAATTAAAATAAGAGAAAGATTATAATTCCAACGCTTGACGTAGCTTTACGCTTTAATAGAGGTGAAATATTTTTTTTACATTGTAATTATTTAAATTATATTAAATCATTCTGTAATTGAAATTAGAATACTGAAACATTATAATACAACAAACCTTTCATATAATATGTTTTTATTTGTCTGCCTGTTCGTTATTTTATATAAAGTAGAAAAGGAAAATAATTTATATCACAAGGTTTATTAATAACCTTTATAAAATCTTTCAGTTCACTTGGTGGATGTGGGTTCATGCGGTTCTCTGGTGTCATTCCGAGACTCTCCGCCCCCCGCACCGCCCGTACAACATCCACATCCCCTCAGCTCAGACGACAAAAGGCGGCACCAAATATTAGCAGATATCTGGACTGAACTAAAGGTTATTTGAAAGGGATAACGTAAACTAATACTAACAGGTTCCATTTAAAACTAAGTAATTTACTTAAGATTAGTATATATTTCTAGTTTATAAGCTTAAAACTTATTAGATCATAATTTTAAAACCACCCTCATTACTGTTTCAGGGATTGGAGGTGACACCGGCGAACTTAGCTCGAGCGTTATCGGCGGTGGACCCGACACTATGGGCGACACCCACGAGACCTGCGACACTTAGCCTAAACGTGCCCCCAAAAGCTGATTCAAACAAAGGTAAAAATTCAGCTTTCGAAAGAACACATAGTAATATTATAATTCAATTTATTTACATAAACGTCATAATCTTTCAGAGAATAGTGGCGAAAAGGAAGAAGCTAGCGAACAATGTGAAGCCGGAGCGGAATCTCCTGAGAGCGGTGCCAAAGACGAGGGATATTCCACGATGTCTAGTGACGTACAGGCCGACGCATCAAGGCAAAGTGACCATGCAGCTGATCGCATACTGCCCGACCTCAACGAGGCCTCCGATGAAACTGACAATCAGACCATCGTATCCATAAATCCGAGGGAATCGCGACGGCATGCCAGACTGCTCGCTGAGGCTGATTACATTTATTTCCCGATCGGCGTAGCATTTGCGGGTATCCGAGGCAGCTATCCGCCTTCGAGGCCTGTACTGCCGTTTCAACATGTGGTCCGAAGTTTTTCCGATTCTCATTTATGTTTAAAATTACTGACCGGTACCACATGCCCGACTAGCTGCCTCGATTCTCCTGCTCCTAGTTCGGGAGTCTTAGTTTTAGATCTCAAACCGACGCCAGAACGACCCCTTCGGCGTCCAGCGATCGCCTCTACTACTAGTTCCGAAAGAATTTCGTGGGGTAGTACCGTCGACGAAAGAGCCGACGGATCACAATTTGAATCAGACTACGTCCAACATTGGTTAGAGCTAGACGATGCGAGATCTGCACTTCAACAAAGACACCGAGATATGGCAGATTTAGAATATGATAGAGCTGAACTAGAAGACTGGAGTTTGTCGTTATCTTGCGAAGATCTCAGAGACAGACAGTCACCTTTCGCAGAAATAACGACACCCGGCCAGATATCTCTGTCCACTTTACCGAGTATACGGGAAGACGACGCACTAGAGCTAGAAGAAGATGTGGGTGATTGTTTATGGAATGATTGCGGTTTCGCTACTGTCGAAATCGATGAATGTAGAACTGGAGACGAAAACGAAATTCCAGATAAACGTTGGGAATATTCCGGCACACAATCCCCAGGTGGATCGTGGTCCAGTGCATCCGATGGCGCAGAAAAACGATCTAGCACAGCACTTAGTGAGGACGGCGACTGTGCCAACGTTGGCTTGGATTTCACAAGAGACTTCTATCGACTTGTGAAATATGAGAGCACAAAAAGTTTAGCATCGAATTCTTCTAGAAGTGTGCCTGTAAATCAAGACCAAAACCATTTGAGAATTCACGATGTTCAATCTATGGCCCTGCAAGATAGAGAACAAGCGCTTCAAAACGTTTTAAATTTTATTGCGGAACAACAGAAATATTGTCGCGATAGAGAAGAATCTGATTCGATGTCATCCCGTCCTGTCTCCGAAATACGAGAATTGCCGCCGCCTTACGCATCAGCCGACTTCGACGAGGAGTCAGTAGACCCCCGTAGTGAAGTTTCTGATGACAGACAAAGACCAGACTCATTCGGTAGTTTTTCTGAGAACGATTCTTGTGATATACATAACGATAAAGCAAAGATTTCTATTTGCGAAGCAGTATCCGAACCGAAATCCACGCTTCGATTTATACAAAAAGAAGAACCTTACGCAGAATCGGAAGATTACTATGTCGACATAACCAAAAAAGAAAATACTGAAAATGAAATAGATCAAAACCATTTACTTAAAGTACAAAGGAAAAACGAGATAAACAAAATAATCGACACAGGTAATGCAGAGGCGTTGGTGAAGGAAGATAAAGTAGAAATCAGAAGCCTCGACCATAATTCAGCTTTGAAAGAGAACACTGTAAATATTATTTTAAACAAAAATGCTAACGAAAGAGAGATAGAGACTTGCCTCGCGAAATCCGCGAGCTTTTCGTATCCAGGCGAGACTGAGATATCATTAATGGATGAAGTTCTCAGTGCCTGCAGACGGAGTACGATTGCCTTGGTAACCGTCCCAGAAGAAGAGGAAAACTCGTCTCCAGAGACCGGTTCGCCCCAAATGACTGAATCTAACACAACTAGCACTTCGACGGCTGAAACTGTGATAATAGGCAATAAAAATGATGGCAAAGACGTAAAGCGAAGGCAAAAAAGTCGGATTCCAACACTGATGGGTGGGAAAAGGCCACCATCCTCCCCTAATAAGATAAAATCCAAAATACCTGTAGCTGGTAGAAGTATGTCTAATGAATCCCAAAACGCTGAATCAATAATTGTAAAACAGGAGCATACAATTAGTTTTCACGAAGCCGCAACATCTAAAGAAGTAATTGAAGAGTTGAACAGGTAAGTTGTTTTAAATTACTCACTTTTTCAAGAATAAACAAAGAGAAAGAAAATTATTTATTTGCATATAGACAAAAATATAATAATAATAGCAAAAATCTTATGTAATATGTACTCCAAGTAACGACAAAAATAGAAAAGTCTGAGAACCTACTATCCTAAATATGTTACAGAATGATCAGGCAAAGCGAAGGAGTAACTTCAGAAGTGAAAAAAGAAAACGGGTCTGAAAAAACGTATGCACAAAAAGACAACGCGTTGTGGGCACCTACTGGATGGGTTCATGTTGAGAAGGATATTGACTTCAGTGATCCTAAGGTTACTAATATATTATTATCAACCACAAAAATATATTACAAACAAGATGGTTGCTTTTAAATAAAACACTCACGGTTTAAAACGTGAATTTATTAGTTAATTTTTTTACAATATATTTTACCTACAGCCATGGTCACAGGTCCTCCATGGCTACAAAGCATCCGAAACGACGGGCCGGAGTTGAAATAAATTGAAAATAAGTTAACTAATACATTTGTCGCTCACTAATCAAAAGATGGGTAAAAATTAATCTCTTTCATTAGTAGTTAGTAACCAATAGAGACAACGATGTAGCTATAAAGCGTCCTTATGTCTTTAAATTCTATTTATGTATCAGTTGCTTCTTTATATTTATTTGTCATACTAAAGCTATATGCATTTAAAACCAGCAAGTAAACATTTCCAGGCGCGCGCGAATCTTCTAGATGTGATGCTGGCGTCTAGCGACTCATCCCCTTCGTCGTGTGGTTCCTCCCCAGCGGAACCCCCTCCCCCCTACTCCCGCTTACATCGCTTGCACCGTTCCCGCCGACAAAAAACTGGTAAATATCACTACGACTATAAAATAGTTAATCAAGCTTGCGACCATTGTTCTGTAACATGGAAGCGTCATAGAGCATGAAGTATTGATTAAATTTTAATCAATAAAAGTGTATTCAATTTAAAAAATAAATACGACATTAGTTAGGCCAGTATGACGAATTCTTTCATGATACAGTCTTTCACGGGTCATAATCAGCTCATATTGTAAATGTTTGTTCAAGAACTTTCATAAGTTAATTCCGAATATACAAATTCGTTAACAAAGGCAATTTACTTATAAATTTAATTAACATAATATGTTTAATGTCTAGTAAAATTAAATAAGTCCAAAATAGTTGAGGCTTAATACATATACATATTATGTTAGAAGTCGTAAAACTCATTTCGCCCTTAATTCATAATTGTTTGATGAAAGCATTTTGCATAATAAGGTAGCCAAAAGCAAAACAGTTCGACAGCGCATCATAAGTAGGTGTTATATAGCTGGGATATATCACCTTCCATTAAGTGAACCAGCTGTTCTGTCCTCCAACAAGTGAAAACAAATCGGGATCACCCCATATCTTAATAGAGCTTAGAAACAGAATTGTTCTATTTGTCACACATTGATAAAATGCATCTGGTCTATGTCAAACAATATTTGAGATTATCAGACAGTTATTAAATTACTGGGTGTGTTCGTGTCGGATAATTGAAAATGATTTTGTTAAATTCTGATTCTATATATCAAATCTTAACATTGAACTTTTGATTTCTAAACTGGAAAGTTTGTGTGATCTATGTGGCGTGACCAGAAAAAATTGTTATTGTCTTATACTTAAAAAATGCACTGACGGTTTAAAACGCAATCATTAAAATTTATTCTAAGTTTAACTAATATATTTCACGTTTTAAACCGTTAAATATGTACTACTTTATTGAAATGTGGACTACTCGCGTAAACTACAGACAGTATTTTATTGACTAAATGTTAGCCAAACATTTTTCTGGTCGTGTCCTTGTTCTTATCTAATTTTTGCTTAAACATTTATGTGACTAGTAGTATCTTAGTTGCTATTATGCTTTTGTGATGGATGTACTTAACAAACTCGATGCTTCGAGTTTAGTAACAATCAATTTGATATAATTGTATGCACATCTCAGAGCATCGTGTTTCATTTATTTCATGAATGAAGTTTATTCAAGGTATCAGAGATTCTTCTTTCATGATAATAAAGATCTGTGTTACGGGTTCTCATGTTGTCACAAGCCACGTCACTCGTTTCCGCTCATCGCACCATCTCACTCATTCTAGTTCTCTTGTAACGCATCGCTCCGAAATCTATTTAAAGTTTTTACGTAAAATTGTATACGGCACTTTGAGTACTTGATGACAGTACATGGGGATGAAAACTTTTTTATTATTCACATGATGGTAATATAAATTAAAAATCTATTTTAGATTGAAAATTTTAACCACACGACCAGTACTTAAACCGGCATCCACAGCGTTCCGTGCTGTTGCTCTAACCGACGTCAACACTTCCTTAATACGCAAGTGTTAAGGTTGAAATTACATTGCGCGAGAAGTGCTAAAGGTTTAAAAAATTCGACGATGACATATTATAGCAACAGCACGGAACGCTGTAGATGCATGTTCAAGTCTTGCCCGTGTCGTATTGTTTTAAAATCTAAAATCGATTTGTAATTAATACATCGGGGTTAAAAAAATAATGGCATTAAGCTAGTAGGAGCGATGTGTGCGCGCGAAGTGCGAGCGACGCGATGCTTGTGCTCACGCGCGTTATCTCGTCCAGAGGGCGGTCGGTTGTAGCCCTAACTGCCTGCCTGGTCGCAGCGGCCGCGCTCCGCAGCCGCGTCGGCGTCGTGCGGCAGCTGCGCCTGCGCCGGCCGACGATCCTCGGCCGCGACGAGTTCTACGTGCGCTTCGCCGAGCCGGAACGCGCCGCCGTAGCCTCCTTCGACTTCCTCGACGACCTCTCCGGCGGATCGTCGCCGGACACCAAAGACTGTCACGATTAGCGATACCGAATATATTTTTCTATGTTGTGATATTCCCGTCGCTTGTAGCTTTACGCCTTTAGGTGTAGGCGAGCGTACAGTGCGATAGGAGTTCTGAATTCAGCTCATAACTTAACAATACTTTATAGTTCAACATTTTTGAGTTTATTATTTCTATCGGTCTGCACGGTCGACAGTAAAAAGCACCTAGTTAAATCGGGGGTAAGGGGGTGTCGGTCAGGGAATGCGTTACCTTTAAGTTGGCTTCGGGTCCAGTTCTTGAATATAGAGTTAAGTCTGCATACGGCCGCTTGTCACCGGGGACCCGAGCCGTTTCCTTTGATCACCGCGTTGTTAGCTTACGCTTCGTACCGGTAACACCGATGTAGGTAAGAAGTTAAGTAATGACTAAGTAAATGAAAGCTGCGGCCTCGAAGTCATGTGATATTTTTGTATATACTGTAAGTCCCACTTATTTTCGTATACATTTAACGGATTCCTTTGAAACTCGGAGCGTACGTGTTGAGTTTGGAACGTGTTAAGTCCAAGTGTGCTCTAACTAGTACACAGTAATCGCCAAGTGTGGGTTAAGTATGGTAACGTTAGGTACTTATGTACATATTGACAATTTACTAATCGAGCTAGTACACTTAATTAAAAAATAGTCATACACTATAATGGTTGATGAACTTAACATCCATTAAATCAAAGGGTACTAAATATTTTAAGTGTATATATGTTATGACGTCATTGAATGCTATTTATTACTTTGTATCATTTGCGGTTGTCTTTGTGTATACTTAGGAACATATCATGAAATTGTATTGTTTAAATTCTTATATTTAATGGTCTATTCGGCAATGGCACGAGCGAAAAACCTTTGAAACAAAAAGCATTATAAAAATATTTTCACCCTGTACATGACCACGTAATTATTATAACTACTTTACACGATAAATAACAATCAAGATTTACGTAACCGCTTTCAAATGTATAACTGCTTTTAAATGTGTTCAAATAAACTATTTTGATCGAGTTAAACAAATTTCTATTCAAGTTAATGTACTTACGACGCCTTTTGGTTGCCTGTGAACACGGCTGCTAAAAATAATTTTGCAAAGCTTTTCGCCGAGTTGAGTAGCACATCTCCTGATGATGTCGTTCACTCGTGATGGCGAGTCGAACACTGTCTCTCAATTACGACGGCTTCGACCAAAAAGATTTAACAGTATATTCGCTTAAACTGACAGATACAACACGACTCGTGTCAACGCGTTATAATATTTTGAATAGTTTTCCGTATTTATGGTTATGAACCTTATAAATTCGTAGTGATTTGCTATAACACATAAGTAAGTATATGGCAAAACCAAAGCTATTTATACAAAACACTATAAAACGCCACCACTTGTTACGCTGAGACACATTTAATTGTCCGCAAATTTAGGTACCCCGGCTTTGTTTTGATGGCAAATAAGAAGACAATAAGGAAGATTTTTACCTATATAAATATAATCGAAATATCGTATTAAACGATATCGTAAATATTCTATTAGTGTAATATATATAATTGGGATTCTCAGTTCGGGTACGATACGACGTCAATAGTTGTCGCAATTATAGATTTAAATCATCGAAATATTTTACGAAGCAATAAACAACCGATTATTCATATATTTTTGACGATTTATTGAAATTCCTTAGATGTAGTCGAGTGTCCGAACGTTGAACATTACTTTCAGTTACTTTGTAAATTAGGGGACTTTTCATACAATTAAGAACCTAAGTCTTAGCACACAGGCCACTATAATTTCTGTAGTTTTCATACATTTTGCTTTGCAGGACATAACATGACTACTTTTTTAAACCCGAATAAATATTCTGTTAGTTCTATTATAAAATGTATAAAAACTAGATTTCTGATAACGGTGGCCCGTGTGCGGTGACCCTTAAGTATTGAACGAGACGTTTAGCGATAGTAATACACTGTTCCTATAAAATAATTCACTCCCATCAAATACGTAGTTTGAATGTGTCGTGTGTGGGTTGACCATGTCTTCGATTGGTAATAACTTCAGTCATATTACATTGTATCGTTATTTATATATAATTGTAGGATCCATTGTACTGTGATTGGTAAATACCAGTTTTGAAGCACAATTGGATAAGAGTATTCCTCGATGGGTGCATTTCGTACGTTCTAACCCTAGATATAGAATACTTGAAATAGGTAGGTACTTTGAACAGTACAAAATGTGTAGTAAGCAGTATAATTAACATACTATGCAGATGGGTCAATAAACGATTCCGTTCCCAAATCAGATGTTGTTTTATTTCTCTCCACTAATCTGTCTATAATTTACAATGGTCGACGAAGACGTGACTGGCCAAGGTCAGATCTTTAGAACCAAATAACCTGCCATAATAGAACGGTTTGAAGGTCTTATCCAAGTCAATGCTGGATGTCCACCATTACATAAATAGATAAAATACGTTACATAGTTCACTAATATGGCACAGTAAAAAAAATATAACCAAGATAATCAAAATGTATAGCGAATCAGTTGCTGCAGACAGACTGTTCAGTTACAAATGTCTGACTACTCTACTTCGTCCTAATTTAAAAAAAATGTATTATACAAAAAATTACGTATAAATTCGAAAGCAGTCTCTATGAAAAACTTTAACAAAGTGCCAAAAAAATATTCTTGTACTATTTCGTTAGTAAAATAATGGTCTCACACATTAATCAGTAATTAAATCGTTATTAAAATTACTTGCACTAAGATCTTGATAAGAACGTTAACTAAGGCATTCTTACATAATGGATTTTCATTTTATCGGCGTCGAATCTGCAATTAAAAATGCTGTATAAGTAAATGTACTCTTTCAATATGTCCAAAGTTTGAAACTCTTAGAAAGTCTTATAGTTTCAAAATAGGTAAATATTTCATTTATTTTATTATCTATATTTACCTATATATATAATGAAAAACACACGCGAAATTGGAATTTGATTGAACCGAGTTACCCGCCAAGTACTCGGTTGAAAAATAATTGAACCGAGTAAAACTCGGTACTCGTTACTCGGCAAAAGTGTTACTCGGCGCATCTCTAATATTATCTCCCTGACCTGAATAACTATATAGACATGTCTCTAATTAAAAGGTTCGAATCCCCTATCAATTTTACCATCGGTAAAACTACCTAATACCCAGGTTCAAACAAAATAGATAGGGCATCGTCTAGCTGTCTGTAAAAACCAAACAGTCAAGTCTAGTCTAACAAGGAGTTAAACGGGTCTTTAGAGCACTTCTAAATAATGCTAATTAATAATTCAAGCTTAACAAGTTAATTGCACACACAAAAAGGGTCCATCCACCACATAGACAAGCAAGGACATGTTCACTTTGACTAGGTCTAAAATTTATTTAATATATTAAAATAATTTGCACCAAAGATCACTCCAAAAGTTTAATATAAATCGACTTCCATATTGTATGTATATATTTGTTTTGCGATGTGCACTCTGAACAAGTAATTTTTTTTAATAAATAATTCTTGATAGGAAATACTATTCTAATAAAAATATTAAATATATTATAGTAATACTTGCCGATCGGCACACGGATCTATTTTAAAAATAGGATAGAAAATTAGTACAAAAAAAACATTGTAAATATAAGTTACAAACATTTAAAATTGTAAATTCCAAAGTGTTGGTAAAAGGCTTTTTATTTTTTTTATTATAGTAATATTACTATATAATATATTTAATATTTTCAATAATATTTTCTCTTTCATGTATTTGAAATTAAAACTCAAATCATTATTAGATTTTTATTTCAACCAAAACTGTCATGATCAGTAACAGACCTCAAAAATCACAGACTAATAAATACTTGTCAACAATAAAAATAAATAAAATAGTAGTATAAAAACAATCCGCGCGGAAAAAACAAATTATAAATGTAGGACATAAGCCCGCATCTGCAGGCCTTCCAAGAAAAATTAATACAACGAATTATGGATTTTTGCAGCAAAAATAAGCATTGATAACAATTCCACAAAATTAAATCAAAATTATATTAAATTGGCCTATTTAATAAATTATTGTATGTGTATGTACACTTAAGTGTAGATGTTATACAAAATTAAATATACTATAATCTTCATAATTTCACGTTTCAACTGAAAGCACACAAAATTATAACCGATATCATAGGTGGGTCTCGAACCCATGGTCAGTTGACTTCATTATTTTAATCTAAAAAACAATATTTTACTGTAAAACATTATTAATCAAGAAACAGTTATTACACTACACGAATTAAGACCGAGTTGTGAAAATGTGACTAGATGGTGAGACGAAACAATAACAAAAAAAAAATGCTTATGATTTGAGACAAAATGTATATCTTACTTTCTATAAAAATATGTTAGAAAACGTGGATGGAGGTTAGATTACAGAAATAAATAATTAATTAATAAGTACTAAAAAACCTAACGAAGTATTCAAATTTTTAAATGATTTACAGCATTACTACTATTTCAACATAACGAGTTAGTGTAGGACTACTTGCACATGAGACAGGGTTTTTTGAAACCACAAAATTAGCGACATGGTGCTGGTATCAGCAAACACAAATACCGAACTAACATTTCACTCCACCTAGAATTCGAACTCGTTATCTACCTGTGTACAAACTATATAAGAAATTATATAAAACCATACTATACTATAGTACAAGTCTATATTATATAGTATTATAGTACAATAGAATAAGGAAATTGACTTTTTTCATTATTTGTAATTATGATAAAATGGAAAACATTTTACTCAAATGCGAAATCTATAACGCCTTGTAATTTATTCATTAGTTTTTAAATTTAAAAAAGCAATTACCCAATATTATATTTTCCACAAAGTTATATGAAATTTTGCTTCAATTCGCACTGGGAGCAATGTGATGATAAGAAAGACAATTATTAATATATACCAAAAAAAATCTCATGCACTGTATATAAATTCTTGTCCATTCTATCAAATTATCGTAAATTATTCTGAAAAATTAGTGTCTATAAATTCCGCAAAATTGAATATAGATTTGTCTACAAAACTTTATTCTTAAAACTTGTAAGTTTGAGCACCTGATGTCACCGATTTGGTGAAAAATCGATTTGTATAAATTAAATTAAATTAAATTCGCGCAATACCAATCTATACAATATAATAAAACTAATAACACTTATTCTAGGTATTTCTTTAAGAATTATGTACACTTCGGAGATCGCCAAACTATGGTACGGACCGCCAAAAATAACTTTACATTGTTAAATTGGCGGTAGTTCTTCACTTTTATATAATACCTTCTTTCAAAATCTGAAGTTCACTTTGTGGTTTTTCGAACGTCGCAGTCGTCTGGCTTTGCATGGTGTTCTTATGACGCTGAAATGCAGCACGAAAAACCACAAAATGGTAGAAGATATCCACAAAAGCTTACACAAGTTAAAGACAAGTACACAAAAGGCAAGAAAATTCAACTCCAAATTCTAGGCTTCGTCCCTCCGGAAACGCATTCTTCTGTTTTAATATCAACCGTTGATTTGTCGGGTCCAGCGAAAATATTCTTCTTTCTTGGATTCGTGTTTCCACTGTTGACAATATACTTCTTAATAAACTTCACTTAAATCCCAAAAAAAAATAGCTTAGATTATGTCGTGCACATAATATATAAAAAAAGCTGTGATATTTATAAAATTTATAAATGCGATTTGTGATTATTTATAAAATTTATAAATGCGATTTGTGATTATCTATAAAACATTTACGGATATAACGCTGATAAGGATATCACCCCAATTTACATTTTCACATCTACGTTACATATCTTTCGATAAAATATTTTTAACGATATGAATTAAAATGTTAGTTGGTCTAAATGGGTAGAACAATTAGGGAAGTGTCTATTATGATTTTTTTACTATCGAAGCAATTAAACTGACTTTTTGTAAAATAATGGTATTGAGAAATTTTTACAATTTTGGAGGTCTACTTTAGCGATGAATAAGACGCTCTACACAAGGCGTTAAATCACTTTAAACGACAAAAAGAACGCTTGAAACACATGTATTTTATATGGACGTATAAAAAAAATACATTGCTAGATTTCGGCACGAACATACGACCACAGCGTTCCATGCTCCTCTATCGATTAAGCTACCGCGTCCCAAACGACATCACTAAATTTAAATTCAATCATTATATTTATATATGCATCTCTCGCGCAAGGTAAATTTCTCCTAAAGAATTTCCTACCATATCGAATAACATTTTAAAGTTGGACGAAAATTATATGCCTTCAACGAGAACTTAACAAGGCCTGCACGAGTTGGATCACGTTCGCCATTCATTTTCCAAAAGCGTCATCAACTCCTGAGTCATAAACACCTTCGCACCACATACTGATATTAAGTAAACGATGTTCTTCTAATCTAATTCATAAACGTTTTCATTAAATATAACCCAATATAAGACAAAGAACTTATTACACGAGCGTCACAAATTGATAGATAATAATTATTATTCTTAATGTTACTAATTGCAAACGACACAGTAATAGCGTAAGTTAAATTTCAAACCGAATAACTTTACTGAAAGAACGCCAATATTTAGGGAAAAATAGTTTGATATTTTCTATGATTATAAATTAAAAGATATTTAGGTACTAATAATTAGAATGCTTGACGATATTCCCTTATTTTTTTTTGTAAATGGGCGCAGATGTAGAAAAAATAGGAGATTTTTTTATATTCAATTTTTTTAGGTAAGTACAAATTATGAAGGTATATCCTTATTCTACAATTTGAAGGAGTTATCATTACTTATCATTAACGTTAACACTAAATTATCTACTAATACAGGGATTCCCATACGATAATATCTAATTTGTTGGATAGATTAAAAAATAAAAAAGATAAGTTTGTGGCTTTTCTTATGTTTGAAAATTATTAATAATATTAATTTTTATTAAACATAAACATGTTGTCCGGTGTTTCGCGAGAGGGATTGCAAAGTAGCGTATATTTAATTACTTAAGCATTTATGAAAATCAAGCAACATAGGAACAATTTGAAAAGCAGTAATTATTTGCTAGAAGAAGCTTTAACACATTATAGCCTAATGACAGAAGAATTCCTTACCTCAGCATACTTCTGAAATTCTCTAGCTCCCGAATACTATTTGAAAGTCTTGCAAAAGCATTGAATAAAGCAACTATCTCAGTTCTCTGAAGCCGCTTATGGGATTTATGCCTCAGTGGTAACTTCCCTTGCTCTGGGTCTTCCTCAACGTTCCATTTACCAGAAAACAGAATTTTCAGTGCCGTTCCAAGTCCCTGAGTCTGTAGTTTCCCCCAAAGTTTGCATTTATCACATCCAACGCAATCCATAATCCTGGAAATATTTAAAAAGTGCTCCCGAAATTCCACTTTAAGAGTCGCAGCTTTACTTCCATTAAACATTAAGGATTCGTTAAAATGGTCTGGAAAAGAATAAATAACTCCCAACATATTCTTGATTGCATTTCTTGTTTCTTCATCTTCATTAGAATTACCTGTAAAATAATCTTCTCTCTCTAGGTAAGGACCTGCTTTAGCCAAAGCTTTCATCTCTAAAAGGTATAAGAAGTATAGATTTTTTAACCAGTTTGGTCCTTCTCCATGAGTCTGTGAAGGGTCAAAGCGTCTCTGAAATTCTTCTAAATTAGGACCCCACTCTCCTTCTGGTGGGGCAGCAAATCCTAATTTTTTCTCTGATAGTAAATACTTTGAGCATAGATGAATATTGATGCTGGTGTGAAGACCAGAAATAGCTCTATAAAACACTCTCTCCTCTAGACACATATTTCCTAAATCTGAACTCAAGACGTAAGGAAATGACTGATATGGATTGGTTTTTGGACGGAAGCAGTTCTCTTGATAGATACTTCTCCAAATTCTGTGTGCTGATGGGCCTTTATAACCTGTATATCGTTCCAGATTTAGTGAAAGATCTATATACTCTGCTTCAACATCTTTATCGTCACTCTGACAGAAATTCTCAAGAGAGTCATCATATGCTTTCCATTTAGCTATTTCAAACTGACTAGCAGCACTAATCGTCATATTTAGGTATCCTAAATCTGGGTCATGATCTGAATCTTGACTGCACAGTTTGGGAGCTTCTTTAGAATATTTACGTGCTGGAGATTCTTCCCAATACTCACTTTCATCAAAGCCAGGGACACTTTCTTTAGAGCATGTTTTAATATGACAATATTTCATTGCACATTTACTATCATCAGCCCAAAAAGGACACTCTTTCTTTAAGTTCACTTTGTAGAAACGAAAATAGTCTTTGCTCACCAAGCTTTGGATCCGCGGAAATATCTTGACATTGTTAAAATAGTCAATTGTATCTACATTACATGAGCAATCTCCAAGAGCCCCATGCAAAGATTCAAAACATGCACTGCTATCACAAGCTGGAGTTTCAAATAGTTCTGTATCATAACCCACAGCCTGGACTATTGCAACAGCAAATATTATAAAAATAACACAATAATTTTTACACTCCATTGTCCTCCCATAAATCTTCAGATTAATACTAATTTTGAATTAATACAATATAATCATCAAAAGCCAGTCCATAAATAATATATTGACATCTTTATTTTTATGATGAAATTTTTTGATAATTTAGAATATAGGTGAACGTGCCTTTCTAAACGTCTACGAATAATAATTATTGTTGTACATGCTTATCCTTTCGCTTTTCGTATGCACCATACAACTACACCTCCTCACTTCTATTGAACATTACAAAACACTGTTACTTGTTGAGCTATTAATGTCATGAGCGCATTTGTTATCACCGACTTTAGTTATTTTTCATTCATATGAACAAAAAACAAAATTTTAATGGCCAATCATATACACACAAATCATACTTATACTCAATAAGAAAACCAATGTCTAGCACTGACATTTTATTAGAAAGTTTTGTAAATAACAAAGCGGTCAAATATGACAAGTGTAAAAATTTGACAATTGACATAAAATACTAATATCAAACAGAATATTCGTAAAAAAAATAATCTTTGTTGTTTGACGTGCTTAATTTTTTTAGAGGCCTATTATACAGAAGATTTTTGTAAAACCATTTTGGTACCGTACAGAAACACGGACAGAGATATCGCTAGTAGATCCTTCACTGAAACGATTACGGTCGTACGGTTTTTAGTTAGAACTAATACGAGTATACTAACTATAGAAACAACTAACACAAAACTTAAATTTATATCGCTTACTTATATTAAAAAATAATGTAAAACCCAAAAATTAAGTGAAAAAGGACGGACCATTTCATAAAACTGCCTTTATTAATTTGCAAAGCTAAATCGCCAGCACTAGTACTTAATTAAAAATACGGATATGGTTTGCTTTCATAATGTATTTTTTCTTAGCCTGACATTTTTGTTAAACAAACACCCAATTTAACCACCCTAAAACACTTCACAAGTCCCACCCATGCACGATCGCTGAAAAACGTTACAAATGTCGAGTTTAACAATAATGACTTCATAATAGAAGTGATTTTGAATATTGGGGTCGTTTGGTCCATATATAATAGATATTTCTTTAGCCTTGCTTCATCTGTGGCAACGACTAGACTCTATAAAAGGGCGTCACTAGTTCTTTATGGTTTGAAATCGGCCATATTGTGGTATTTTGCCAAGGTAGAAAAAAACACTATACATATTTTGACAATTTGACATTCATAATATTATACTCTCCACACTTCCATTTTTTTTCTTACCTGGAAATAAAGTTGGCTCTTTACTATTTTTTATTCTTATTTCCATAAATAAAATCAAATGGGTAGAAAAAATAAAAACCATTTTTTCTTGGGCGTTTTAATAATTAATATAATAGAAATTCACAATAGCTGTAACTATTTCAAGAAATGCAAAAAGAGATTCATAACCGTAGATATTCATTGCTCCCGTATTATTTACAATCAATGAATCGAATACAAAATTTAAACACTTTAGAATAAGATTAGAAAATATGTAAAATGGACGTAGCAACTTTGACTTACTTTAGTAAAACTATAGAAAATACTTTATATTATAATATATAAAATATTAAGACCTCTTTACAATATACCTGTTTATTTATTTTTCATTGTTGGTTCAAGCTGCTATATAAATAATCTTCAGAACAGTATAACTTGCTTTAAGTTTTAAATTTGTAAGAGTGAGTCTTCTTAGATCTACGAAACAAAGTTATATTTAGACTTAGACGCGTGCGCATAGAGCGATTAGACAGAAAAACCTAGATAACATAGTTTATAGCAGAGGTCTTACACTGTTACATTAGAAACAGCTTAACTAACTTAAAATTACTTAACTAAAGTCAATTAACGCACTTAGCGGTCAAATTAATAAATCAAATGTCTAAGTGTAATTTGTTCTTCCAACTACACTTGAAAGAGTAATATATTTTGTCAGATATTGTATATAAAAATATGCAAATTTTAACATACATATAGTTCTAATAATATAGTTCTCTCCAGGCCTCATGTTGATTACTTATATAATTTTGTCTTTATAAATCGTAGATTTGAATATCATAAATGAGATTTTAAAAAGATCTTAAGTTCTATGCTTTTATGGTGATGAACATCTGTGGCTTTGAAGTATTAAGCTTATAGCTTAATGTTAATAGGCATACTAGGATATTTTGTTTTAATGTGATCTCTTAATTTTTTTGTTACAATTCTCTATCATCTTGGAACAGTCGTGGTTACAAGTGAAGAGCGATAACATGAAAAATATAAAAGGTGGGTTTCGATTCGTTCAAACTTACATAAATTGTACGTAAAATAAATGTATGTTATCTTTTGTAATATTTATATCTCCGTTGTATATTTGTTCTGTGTGAAGGCCACCTTACGCATATCTGTGAAAAGAGAATTTATTTGAAATATATTAATATTACACGTAAATTATATGATGCACTCAAAAAATATATATATTCATTGTCACTGGTACCGTTTCAAAATTAATTATAACATATTATTGTATTACCACAAAAACAAAAGGACATAAAAAAAATGCAAACATTATTATTCTCCCCTCTATCACACTACACTTAACAGCGTTAAAATCCCTTGAAATTAATAAAATCATTACAAGAATAAAAACATGTTGTCAAGCTTTATGGACAGTCGACACGATCTCGCAAAAAGCATAAAACAATGTTTTATTTTTAACTACATAATTATATACATATGTGTTCTATCTATTGCATAATTTGTCAATAATTTAATAACTATTGTAAAATACGTACCCATCATCCAACGTTAACTATAAATGTAGTTAATAAATTAAAACAAAAAGGTACATATGCCCATATTATAATCATTTAAAAGTATAAAACAGTTGTTTATGTAGTCTGGCAATTCCTAACACAATAGAGAAATATTAATAATTATACAAAATTTTATAGAAGAGTACAAAGTAGGTTAAACGTCATACAAAAGGTTTTCTCAAGCAATGAAGAGAGCTCCGAGTAAATTTTTATCAAATCTTATGATTATTGTCTTTATTATATTATTTTTTGACCCCGTGACAATTTGCCTTTATGTTACAAAATTCTCGTGGAAGAAAGGCAGAAATATTTCCAAATAGAAACAAACTCTACATTGTTTGCTAGATCAAAAAATATGATGAATAATTTTTCAATTTGACAGCAAACAAATGTATTATTCTCGATACCATCATATCTATTGATCAACATTATAATAAATTCACAAACACATTAAACAGCATGACGAAAAATTCACCCACTTATAACATAATATCTCTTATATATCCCAGTAAAGTAGGTGAGAATCTCAAAACTTAGATATCTTCACCTACAATTTGTAGGAAATTTAGAAATACAAATACCGAACGATCTATTATTAACAAAAGACATGTTGGCACAAAATATCAATGTTGCCTCTTTTACGGTTTTGAGATACCATTTTTGTGAAAATATAAGTTACAGCTGATTCAATTTTGCTTGGATATATAGATTTATTTTGTTATAAAGCTCAAGCACCTCGGTCGTACAGCATTTTACATAAATTTGCGCATTAATTGTTAGTAAAGCCCTTTAACCAGAAGCACATATAAAAAACCAAAAAACATTTAAATGCAAAACAAACATCTTTTGTCGAAAACAAAGCTAAACATGAAACTTGCGTTTTTTCGTAATTGTTAAATATTAAAGCTGCGAAAAACCACAAAGTACACAATAACTATTATCGTCTTTATGATGTGAAAAACTAATATATCCCCTTTAAATTTACAATAAATCAAACAGCAAAATTACTTTTTCGGCATAATATAGCCACATTAGTAACCACACACACACACAATGTGAAAACACCGCCATAAAGAAAAACTTTTATTGTTTCTTTGTGCATAGAATGTATAAGTTAAAAAATACTGTAACATAAAAATATTTAGGCAAATATATGTGTAGATAAAAGTTTTTCTTATATAAAACCATAACTAAACTCCATTTGCTATTAAGGAAACTTTGATTAAAATATTCAAGTGTTAAAATATGTATGTAACATATTATGTTTGTAAAACATATTGTATTACGCAAATGGAATTTATTTGAACACAGAGGCATGCAACCACAGCCGGTTGGTATTAGAAAAAAAATTAAAACCAAATAATTGTGTAGGTACCAGTTCTAATGTACAAAATATTAGTAGCGAGACCTTCTGTCCATGTTACGTATGGAGTTCGCGAGGCACAACGCGAATAGTGCTCCGACCACCTGAAATTGGAGAAGAGAGAAGATTAGTTAATTGTTGGTAGTTCGCAGTTCCTTATGGAAATATAAAGAGTAACATATAAAAATTACTTTAAGGAATGCAAATCATCTAGCTACTACAATCAAATAATTTATGATTATTAATTCAAGGACTCTCATAATTTTCACTCTAAAGCAGAGCAACAAGAAATAGCATTTAAATATAGATAAACAGTAAAAAAAAGTGTATGTCTTTAATGTAGCCCATTAACTTTCCGTCATTTTACTTAATGTTCCTATCGACAACTATCAATGAGTAAAATTTTAAACGATATTTACCTCAACGCAAGCAACACCGATAGCAACGCCAGCAATGGTCTTGTTCCACTTCTCATAGATTTCTCCAACTTTGGTAGAGCAGCCTGTGGTGTTAGCGTCAGCAATTGTGCAGGTGTCTCCTAACAGTTTGCCGGTGACACCAAGTTTTGAGCAGCAGCTCTTCGGTACGACAAAAGCGTAATCAGCCGCACTGTACTTTCCGCAGCATTCCAACTGAAACGAGGGTTAGTTTTACTTAGATAGTGACCACACCACCATGGTCAAGAGAGAACCTTGGAAAACTGCTGGTAAACTTAGTAGTTTCATCCAGGCACGGGACATAAGTCTAGACAAATACTTGTAAATAAAATCAACTATTAAAACAGACACATAAATGTACTTGTCCCATGCCCCACATAACTGAGGCAGGATTTTACAAACCTTTTATAGTTAACTTACGAAACTCCATTGAATTTACATATTAATCAGCCTCGTACTGTTCAAGTTCTGAGGTAGGATGTGTTAAAATACCTGTTGCTCAATGTTGTTGAAGACCGCCTGCGAAGCTGTGTCGCTTTTGCTCTTGTCGAAGAGGGTGTCCACAGACTTAACGAGGGCATCCTTCAGACTCTGTTCGTACGCAAACAACAGCACGCCCAAAGCCACTTGTATGATAATGATCACCAGCAGGAACACGGCGTACTGGAATTTCAAAATTAGTGGTTAAGAGTAATGTTGATTTGTTAGTATCAATGTAAGACTGAGAGCTTAACGAATCATCGGGTTTATTACTACTTCTCAATATAAGTAGTTTTATGAGTTATCTAAAGAGGTGATTGGACTGTAAAATTCCGTCAGGGTCACGAACCGACGACCGTCGATGAAATATCTGTATAAAAAAAAATGAATCAACCGCTTAATTAGATGTTTGATTGTGGATTTTTCAGTAAGGTGAACCCTTTTCTTGACTATTCCCTTCTGTCTTAAAAAATATTCTATTAAGATATATATAGCTAAGTGACAGAACGTCAATCGTAAGAATTCACTTACAAGTCGGATATAAGTGGCACGAAAGTCGCTTTCGAGGCGTGGAGAGTGCTTTGTTTGACTAACAATCGGATTTTTACCGATACCTAGTATTGTCAGTGCGTCGTTTAGGAATTCGAAATCAAGTGTGAATTACATTAGTATTGACTATGTGACCTAGAAAGTCCTGGGTAACAATTAGAAGAATATTCCTTTTTATGAGCCAAAAGCGGATCAATCGATAATACGCAAAAAAGACGCAACCAAAAAGGACATTTTGTAATTATGTTTCTATTTTATTCTAGAAGAATTTACAAATGCCCCTAATCATTACCAAAGAATTTAACACAGAAAGCTGAAATAAAGCTTCCGTTTCGTATTAATAGTTATCATATTGTTTATTGACTTAAATATATTCATAAAATTAATTCTGTATCGTTATTACATCGTAAACTTAAAAACCTGTTGGTCTATGGAATAATCGCTTGAAATAAAAAAGGGTTTAAAAAGTTAGCTAAATACGTACCGTGACCACCATACAGTGGCTCTCGCGTATCGCACCACAGCATCCGAAGAAAGCGATCACGAACATAACTGCTCCGATCACAATGAAGATCCATGGCGCGACCGTGATGTGGCCTTCCAGTTCATTCTTGAATACTGTCCAGTTCAGGAGTACGGCTACACCGATTCCAACAACTGCTAGGCCGAAGAGCTGTAAAGGAAATGTAAAAATTAGAAAACAGACGCAAACAAATGTGTGGCTTGTAAAAATTATGATAAGTATTTATTTTTTAATTTTACTGTTACTTCGCGATAAGTATTATATTTCATGAGAAAGGATCTAGGACGGATCATTGATCAATCACCTGAAATAATTTAAGAATAATCATTTTGGCATAAAGCATTTTTGTATGTTGCTTCATATTCATTCTTGAATTATCTGCTTCTCAACACCTAAGTAAACATAAACGTTAAACCAAATACATTGAAACCTCATTGCCCACTGAAACATGGGACAGCCCGGTTTCTTTATCCGATTCCTTATCGAATTTATTAAAAAAAACGTGTAATAGTCTTCTATGTCTGGCACAATTTTGGTTTACGTTTGCCTAGGATTCTTCTGTCTTGAGAGAGAGGAAAGTCTACTTTATATGTTGAATGATACGACAATCCGTCTAGATACATAAAGGTATTCGTAAAAACAACAGACTCATTAGACCTACTTAAACAGTAGGAAAACATATATAAAAACCATCAAGGTTTAAAATGTGGGCCGCGCCATTGAAACCGTTTTTAGATACAACGTCAGACTTATAGTGAATTAGCCATTATTTCTCGAACGTCGAACCTTGCACGCTTTTGGTGGATAAGGATATTTTTTTAATCAAAGATCGATTAAAAAGTTAAATAATCGAGGAAATATCGAATATTTCGATGATTGTACAAAAACTAGTTATTCCGGATTGAAATAACTACTGTGACCTATAAGTGTGATTTAATACAATTTTAACATCTATGGTAGATTGATTATCATTTTAATATACTTTTTATTTATTACAATTTAATCTGCTACTATACCATATATATAGGTATATTACCCTAGTGTAAGGTATCTAAAGGAAAATGGTATAACATCTGTCTAATGTACTTTAATTATATGTAGCGTGGTGGTAAGTTGAATTTAAAAAAAACGGGTAATTGAGCGTAATTTGTGATATATTTAGCGATGAACAGCGGTGAGGTAATGTCATAACTTCTATTTGTAGAAATATTTCTGCCTAGTTTGAAAAATGTATCTCGCATAATTAACTGGTAAATGAGTTGATTACCAATAGTAATTTTGGGGAAACGACTGTTCTCTATTAAGTAATAAAAATGTATCAAATTATACATAATTCGCAAAATAAGTATGAATATTTAATTAAACTTCCTTATTAAAAAGCATTTGGTAAAACCACTGTTATTACTTACAATTTCAAGAACTTATCGCGTTATAATGATGTCACTTCTATTTTTGGTACAAGTCAATTTGAAACAGAATCACCACAAATCAAACTAACTAAATGTAGGACAATCCATGAATTATAAAACTCGACAATCCATGAATTATTAGAAACTTATAATAGGTCGTTTAACTGTTTAGGTCCGAGTTTTTAATAATCTCAAGTGGAACAAGAACTTTTCAATCTCTTTTTGGCTTACATGATGTAATGAATTATCATATTATATTATCTAACAAAACACTCAAATGTAGACACATATTAGCATATTGACAATGCTGTCTTAGAGCGGTCCACGCTATTGCGCAAGAGTGTACAGATGGCGAGATATTGGGGTCAAAAGCGTTTATTTCATTTAAGCTTTCACTTCCATCGCCAACGTAATGAATATATGTGCTGTTACACAGTTACATAAAAAATAACACTGAGATAACCTTTGTCGGTTATCTTTGGATGGCAAAAGTTATTTGCAAAAACAAGTATTCATTTTGAAACCTTTAATGTTTCATCTCTTGCTAAACTAATTACAATTATATAAGCTTTTTTTATCTAACGGAAGAAATAAAATATATGTTTTATCGATCCATGTTAAACACCAATATTATTTATATAAAAAAAAAAAAAAAAAAAAAAAAAAAAAAAAAAAAAAAAAAAAAAAAAAAAAAAAAAAAAAAAAAAAAAAAAAAAAAAAAAAAAAAAAAAAAAAAAAAAAAAAAAAAAAAAAAAAAAAAAAAAAAAAAAAAAAAAAAAAAAAAGGAAAAAAAAAAAAAAAAAAAAAAAAAAAAAAAAAAAAAAAAAAAAAAAAAAAAAAAAAAAAAAAAAAAAAAAAAAAAAAAAAAAAAAAAAAAAAAAAAAAAATTTTTTTTTCAAAAAAAAAAGAGAAAAAAAAAAAACACCCCCCCCCCAAAAAAACAAAAAAAAAAAAAAAAAAAAACCCAAAAAAAAAAAAGGAAAAAAAAAAAAAAAAAAAAAAAAAAAAACCCCCCCCCCCCCCGCGCCCCCCATTTGGGGGGAAAAAAAAAAAAAGAGGGGGGAAAAAAAAAACCCGTGGGGGGGGTGGGGGAAGTAAAAAGATGGGGGCAAAAAAAAAAAAAAAAGGGATAAAAATTATTTTTTAAATATTACGACTGGGGTAGGACTTGAACTGGCACCCACAGCGTTCCGTGCTATTGCTGTAACCCTTTGAGCTATTGAGAATTGAGTTACCGAGTGTCTAGACATGAATTTAACTGTAATGTTTTATTAAATGGCTTACAAAAAGGTAATTGGAGAAAAAATGGGTTTTGTAAACTCTTGGGCAGTAGGTAGTTAATTTTAATACTATAAAAACGAATAACAATAAAACCTTATCAAATTTAGCACTAGGCTCACGGGGTGAACGTTCGTTGCTTAGTAAATACGAATAGTTGCCAGGTATCGACGCTATTTATAGAAACGTTTGCGAAATGAGAAATCTACCGAATCTAAAATAGTTCTCGACTTAACGATAGATTGTACTCAACCGCTGGTCTTGTCTAGATGTATATTCAGATTTTAGATAACACTTTTTCATTTTATTTAATAATTTGATTAACCATTATGGTACATGTAATGAAAATTCAATTTTAAATTATCTTAACATTTGAAATCTTTATATTTTAAATGTTATTATAAATTAAAAATCGATTTGTGATTAAAAAATAAAAGCCCGTGTCTAATTTTCTTTTTTGATCTAATTCGATATATTTTTTTTAAAGCAATGTTATGAGGAATTGACAGGAATGTGGATACCAAATGGGTAACATTGAAATTCCGTCAAGGCACAGACACAGAAGGAAAATCCCCAAATAACTGCGTTTCGTTTCTGTGAATTTCCAAATCTAAAAACCCAAATAGGACGACAAAGCATCTGGTTTACATGTTATAGTATGTGAGCCCATCTGAACCTTTTGTCATACATGCATAAAAAGGAACTCTTCTTTTACGTTACTACTTCTTTGCAACTTAATAGAGAAGATCAATATGTAGTTATTTCCTAAGATATTGAGTTACGGCAGTGGTTTCCTGATATTGGAGATGTCATAGTCTACAATATATAAATATACTCGTAGCTATAGATGATTACAACAATAAAATAATAAAAGTGAGTAGGTTCTTAACAAAGTGACGCGCTCGTTGGTGTAATGGTGGCAATGTACGGCTAATTCAACGAGTCGTGGGTCGATTCCCACTGGGTCCAACATTTTTAAAAGTTGGTCTCCGTCTGGAAATCTGGATGTTAAATTCCATTAAATCGAAGCACGCATCACAGACCCCACATGAAAAAGCCGTGAAGTTTAATCACGTTTCAGTTTCCGTCTGTCGATTTTAAAGCCTAAATAGGTTTAGATGCTATAGGTGAGGTATGACCTACCATCGAGTGAACCATTCTCCTCCTCTATATTAAAATAAAGTAAAAAGAAATAAGTACTACTAATATATTTACCTTCTCATCTTATAATTTATATTTAATTATAAAAATACTAAAAATAAAGTATAATATTTGTTTTCTTTTTATAATGGACTAAAATAAGTAAATAAACTTGAAACCAGACGTCTAGACTAGACGATTTAAGTCGAGAACTCGTTATTAGTATGTATTCTTAATGTTGGTAAGTCTGTCTATACATAGAACTAAAAGTTAATAATATTAAATAGAGTCCTACTGTCTACTTTTACACTTTACGTTTGACGTGTCGCTGGTCAACGTTGGCGCAATTGTGGGTTCGATTCCCGAAAGATGATTCCAATTATTTTTTAAATTTCAAAAACACATTAAATGGATGGGCCTCCAGAAATGCGAAAGGTGTTAAAAATAAATCCGCGGTTTGGTTATAAATTTCCGAACCTCCAAATTAGAAGTAGGTCAACAGCGTAGTTTAATTACTTAGGTAATAGGGGGGTGTGGTACCACCACTTTTATTGCAACTTTAAAAACAAAGATTTTGTTACATTATTAAAAAGTTACGTATAAAAAGTTTCCAAATAGAACACGGTATCTCAATTGGTTAGAGTAGCAGCACGAAACGCTATGGTTTCCGGTTCAAGTCCCCACCGTTTCATCGTATTAAATATTATTTGAGGAAAAACGGAAAATGTATCTCGTTTTTTGATAATTTTCTACCACGTATAGACAAACTATTTCTATCCATTATTATATCCGTACATACAATAGCGGCTTTCCTTTGATCTTTAAAAAAGCCCGTCCCTCGTAGGACGAACCGTGAGTCGTTAGTTACAGGTAGCAGGGCGATAAAACCTTTATGACAAAGTTCATTCAACTCTCTTCGCGACCTACATTCGTAAATAGACGAGACTCACAAATGTGATCCAGAACAGGCCTTGATTTAACGAGATTTCCGCAAACGAGTGGTAATGAGGATTTGCTCAAAAGCTGTGAAATGCGGTTTAGAGGGAGATTTACCCGCTCATTAAATGGCGTTTAATATATCAGGACATATTTTTAAAAGGGCTACTGTAACTTGTTGTATGATCTGAGTTGTTTGTATTTTCATAGTCTAAAAATGTTAACCTACAAATGAACGAAAATTTTAAAATCATTTTTTACACAAATAATATATAGTATAAATTTATTTTATAGGCCACTCTGCCTCTGATATAACAATGCTGTAGTTAAAATTGTTATGTAAGTAATTAAAAAAAATTGTCACTAGACTCACAATTTAACAATTAT